GCGGTAGGAAGCCACGGATCACTTCATGATATGTGTGTGTATGGGTGTGTTTATTTCCTTTTTTTTGGCGTGGGTGGGTGGGGGAGGAGGGGTTCGGAAGGGTTTGGAAGGGGGACTCGCGGAGTTGACCCTGAAATTCAATAGGTGAGCGATGTTTTTTTGCGGGCGTGGTATCGTTCTGGTCCAAGTTTGAGAGTCGTTTCGGTCGTAGTTCTTCGGTCATTCTACACCGGTCCCGGAAACATGTCAGATTTGCAGACGCAGCCGCTGGCTCATGAAGAAGCCGGCTGCGAAGACGGCTGCCCAGCCCCACAAAAAGCCAAGTTGAGTCGAGTTGAGTCGAGTTGAGTCGAGTTGAGTCGTAAAAATGGGTGACACCAGGTTGCGCATCACTGAACACATCCATGGGGTGTGTTGCCTTTGCTTAAAATGTCAACTCACAGGCCTTCCGGCTCCGAGCGCCTGAAAGTAGCCAATGAGATGCCACGGCCATACCAAGCCACGACTCTCTGAGTCCGCCGGTTAAGTCCAAAGATTTTTACATGGGCCATTGTTATGGGCCACTGTTTTTGTGGTTTGTTTAGGTGAGAGAGGATACTTTCGAAAAGAAGCACATCTGCAAGTTTGAGTGTTTGGGGCGGAACTCGGTTGCCATGGCCATGACTCACTGGGCGGTTGGGTGTGGCTAGCCGGTTTTTGGGGCTCGGTGAACGCGAGGCTGTACAAGTGGGAGCACTCTCGGGAGGTCATTGGCGAGGCGTTGGCCCCTCGGCCCGTTTCTTTTTGGAAAGGTGGGGGCGCCGCTGGGAAAAAAACTGAGCCGAAGGGTGGGGAAAAAGGGGTGTTCCACCTAGACCCCAAGAAAAACATGGTTGAGACCTCAGAATGTAGTCGCTTTAAGGACCCAGGAAGGGCAAAGACGCCTGTTTGGACGTCTTTGCGAGGCTTGGTTGGGGCGCTGCGGCTGTTTTCATGGCATACCCCTGAGCCAAGCCTCTGCGCACCTACCCTAAACCCGCCCAAGACTCTTCCTAAACTTACCCCAAACCACAGCCCACCCAAGATGCAGGCTCGAACCATTGCAAGGCAGTGACGAAGACCAAAGTGCCCAAAGGTGGATCGGCCAACCCCCAAAAGACTTGTCACATCTTGCGGAATCATGATCACTCTGAGCGGAAAAGGTGTCACTGCTTACGGAAGTGAAACTGTCACTGCTTACGGAAGTGAAGCCACTACACGCGGAAAAGTATAGGGGTAGGAAGCTCCTTCCTGTCTAAGGCTCCTTTCTAAGGCTCCTTTCTAAGGCTCCTTTCTAAGGGTCCTTTCTAAGGCTCCTTTCTAGGGCTCCTTTCTAGGGCTCCTTTCTAGGGCTCCTTTCTAGGGCTCCTTTCTAGGGCTCCTTTCCCCTTTCTAAGGCAGGGCTCCTTTCTAGGGCTCCTTTCTAAGGCTCCTTTCTAAGGCTCCTTTCTAAGGCTCCTTTCTAAGGCTCCTTTCTAAGGCTCCTTTCTAAGGCTCCTTTCTAAGGCTCCTTTCTACGGCTCCTTTCTACAGCTCCTTTCTACGGCTCCTTTCTAAGGCTCCTTTCTGGGGCTCCTTTCTAGGGCTCCTTTCTAGGGCTCCTTTCTAGGGCTCCTTTCTAAGGCTCCTTTCTAAGGCTCCTTTCTAAGGCTCCTTTCTAGGGCTCCTTTCCAGGGCTCCTTTCTAAGGCTCCTTTCTTGGGCTCCTTTCTAAGGCTCCTTTCTAAGGTTCTAAGGCTCCTTTCTAAGGCTCCTTTCTAGGGCTTTCTAGGGCCTTTCTAAGGCTCCTTTCAAAGGCTCCTTTCTAAGGCTCCTTTCTAGGGCTCCTTTCTAAGGCTCTTTTCTAGGGCTCCTTTCTAAGGCTCCTTTCCAGGGCTCCTTTCTAAGGCTCCTTTCTAGGGCTCCTTTCTAGGGCTCCTTTCTAGGGCTCCTTTCTAAGGCTCCTTTCTAAGGCTCCCTCATTTGTAAGGCTCATTTCTAAGGCTCCTTTCTAAGGCTCCTTTCTTTGGCTCCTTTCTAAGGCTCTTTTCTAAGGCTCCTTTCTAAGGCTCCTTTCTTTTGCTCCTTTCTAAGGCTCCTTTCTAGGGCTCCTTTCTAGGGCTCCTTTCTAAGGCTCCTTTCTAGGGCTCCTTTCTAGGGCTCCTTTCTAAGGCTCCTTTCTAGGGCTTCCTTTCTAGGGCTCCTTTTCTAAGGCTCCTTTCGAAGGCTCCTTTCTAAGGCTCCTTTCTAAGGGTTCTTTCTAAGGCTCCTTTCTAAGGCTCCTTTCTAAGGCTCCTTTCTAAGGCTCCTTTCTAGGGCTCCTTTCTAGGGCTCCTTTCTAGGGCTCCTTTCTAAGGCTTTCTAGGGCTCCTTTCTAAGGCTCCTTTCCAAGGCTCCTTTCCAAGGCTCCTTTCTAAGGCTCCTTTCTAGGGCTCCTTTCTAGGGCTCCTTTCTAAGGCTCCTTTCTAAGGCTCCTTTCTAAGGCTCCTTTCGAAGGCTCCTTT